CCTATTGTCAACTTCCAGCTGTCCCTCCCATCACTATTTAATACCCAGCCTCTAATCAGGTCCCATTGCCTCCTTCAGGAAACCCTCCTTTGGTTCCATACCCATGTGTCCCATGGATCTGCCCCTTCACTACTCTTTGCATACTGCACTGTAACTGTTTACTTGATGGCTTTCCCTACTTCTCTGTAAACTGAGTCGATGACCCTGGCCTGTACTTTTATACTGCCAGGGCCTAACACTGCACCTGCTCAGCACCTTGCAGGCACACAGCAATTACTAGCTGAACAGATCAGAGGCAGAAGTCATCACATGTGACTGGGGGACTTGGGCCATGAAGTCAAAGAAGGAATTATTGGGGCCTTCAAGCAAAGGTGAGAAGCCATGAAAGACATATGCCAGGGGCAGCAGTAGGCTGGCCTGGCTCAGCAGCAACAGCAGCTGCTGCAGATGTGGGTCTCACCCTTGTCTGGTGCATCCCTGGCACCATGCCCAGGCCTGGGACTCCCCACAGGGGTGCTAGGCTGGGTGGCATTCCTGGTGCTTTATAAGCATTGGCTTGCCTAATGCTCCCCACACTCTAAGAAGCAGATAGTTACTGGTTAAGTAACCTGCCAAAGTCAGCTAGCTAATGAAGAGTACGGTAGAACTTGAATGCGGGGCCCTCCTAAGCCTTCAGAGATACCAAGATTACCAAGACTGGGCCCTGCTTCCTATGAGTTTGCAGTAGACCCAGCTGCCCTTGCCTCCCTCACTACAAGTTTATGGTAAAGTCTTGGCATTCACAGTGTCATGCAATGTCCCCAACCTGTTTGCCTACCTAGAAGAATCTGCTGTTTGCATTCCCCCACAGAAAACAGCAAATCCCAGTGGTACCTAGACTCCCATCAGTGGGGCTCCCAGCAGCCCACTGGCTTCTAGGTGAGCCTCAGCAGAAGCCTCTACCCTTAAAAGCTAGGCTTCCTCAGTTGTTACCAGGTGCCTCCTCCTCACTCTCCTGGCTCTATGGTTTTCATTAAACCAAAGGCAGTTAAGCTCAACCACAGGAGCTCATTAGCTTGACATCAGTAGACACTGTCCCTGCACCCTGTGATCCCTTTCAGTTGGCCCATAATGCACCTACTATGTAATTAATTCACTTAATATAAGGGTGGCCGCCACTTACCATGAACCTGCTAGGAGCCAGGCACCACTGTTCCCATTTTATGGATAAGGAAGATGAGGTGCAGAGACTCTGGGGAAGTGTTTTTCACAGGCATATAGCAGTTAGGTGGCCCAGGCAGTCTTATTCCAGTCTCCAGTCTGGAGTCTTACTATGATAAATTAAGTGGGGCTGGGGATGTAGCTCAGTGGTTGAGTGTTTGCCTAGCATGCATGAGGCTCTGGGTTCAATCCCAAGTACTTTGGGATTGAAAAAAAAAAGTGGAGTACTTTGATTTTCTTCAAATGTTACTTAGGTCTACAATAACATCATAAAATTATTTTCCCATTTTCCTAATAAAAGCCGTACATGCCCTTGGATGCCAACAATCTATTCTAAAAAGCATCCTGACATCTTAATACAGAAACAGACTGCAGGAACTCTGAAGAGGCTTGGTACTCAAGCAGTTAAGGAGGTGGCAATTTCAACAGATTTCTGCAAAATTCTTTATTGATGGCCCAGCAGGTGTTTCTTCCAATAAAACACAGAATATTAATGGGCCCTTGATTTACGTTCTAAGCTTGATTTACACAATGGGTTTGTTATGCACCAGTCTTTGTCCCCAAGTATTAATTCTACTGTTTCCCAGCCAGTTGCCTCTAGATTTCCTGAGGAATGAGCAATGATAATACAGCCTGGACCTGTTATTTTGCCAGCATCCCCATTTCATCAATTTATGGCAAGAGGTAAAATTGGCAAGTACAGCAGTGAGAGTAAGGTACACCATTTGAATATTTCTGAGATGAAATCATTCTGCAGGTGTTACTCAGTTTTTCCTCCTGGCTTTCCCCAGAAGGCTATAAAGCACAGTGTCAAGAGAAGATCCAGGTCTTGAGATAACAACAGAGCCTGAGCTCCTGGGGGTGGTGGGGGGAGGGGTAGAGGGGGTTCCTAAGTCCTTGGAAATCCTCAGGTGTAAGGGAAGAGTTTCTCAAGTGCAGACTAAGGGTTAAGCATTTCACAAGAGTGATCTGTCAGCCCCAGATCACCCCAGACTACACAAGGCGGGTACCATTAGCATGGGCATCTTACTGATAAAGAATTGTATGTGCAAAGGGCAAGCAATCTGTCTCAGGTCGCATCCTTAGTACGTGGTGAGTCTAGAACTGTGTCTCTGAAGATTCTGATCTTTCCACTAAATCACACTGCCTCCGGTTACCAGAAGAGACCCTGACTTAGTGATTAGGACGGCTCAGATTTCATTCAGCCTGACTTTAATCACTGTGCTCCTTGTCTTCCTGTTGTAATAGAAGATGGTACCTGTTTCAGCAGCCTATGAGGCTTTGGCCGCTCAAAGGCTGACTCAGCCTGACTTTGCTTATCCCAACAGGACTGACTACAGGGGCAGTGGTGCCTGGCCTGGCAGTTAGATGGCATGCATCAGTTTCTTCCAGCTCCAGGCTGCTTCCCATCTGTGCACTGGGAGCTGGAGAAGTTCTCCATTCTCAACTTGCAGGATTCTACATTTTCGTCAGATTACTCTAGGACATGCACATTTATGGAGTTTAAAATTAACTGGCTCTCTATTCCTAGAATCTGTTTTAAAGTGCCATTAGGTTAGCCTTCCATAAATAAGCAATTTTAGGCTGCACGCAGTGGCTCAGACCTGTAATCCTTGCTACTCAGAAGGTGGAGATCAGAAGGACCAACGTTCCAAGGCTGGCCCAGGTCAAAAAAAAAAAAGTTCAAGAGACACATGGCTGGATATCATGGTGCAAGCCTGTCGTCCCGGCTATGTGAGGAGGTACAAATAGGAGGATTGCAATCCATCCCAGCCCAGGAATAAAGCAAGATCCTATCTCAAAAATAACAAAAGCAAAAAGAGCTGGCACAGTGGCTCAAATGGTTCTCCAGTCCAAAAAAAAAAAAAAAAAAAAAAGCAAGCTTATGGAATACACATTTGAAATTTAAAAAGATTATTTAAAAGTCAGGCATGGCGATGCATGCCTGTAGTCCCAGCACTATGGAGGCCGAAATAGGAAGGTTGCAAGTTTGAGGGCCAGCTGGGTCTACATAGTGAGAGACCGTCTTAAAAAAAACAATAACAAAAATGGGTTGGGCGCCTGTAATCCAAGCTACTCAGGAGGCAGAGATCATGGTTTGAAGCAGTCCCGGCAAATAGTTTAAGTACCCAATCTCAAAAATATCCAACACAAAACAGGACTGGCAGAGTGGCTCAAGTGTGAGGCCCTGAGTTCTAACCCCAGTACCGCAAAAAAAAAAAAAGCTGAGGCTGTAGCTCAGTGGGAGAGTGCTTACCCAGCATGTGCAAAGCCCTGAGTTTGATCCCAAGCACTGCAAGAAAAAAATAAAAAATGAAGACACCCACTTCTTACATAGTTAAGGCTAACTCGATTAGACAGACACAAATTCAGTTTTAGTTATTAAAATCACTTTGCCTAGGCAGAGGCCAAACAGCATAGTGGGAAAAACATAGCTTGGAGCCAGAATCTGGATTCCAGCTCTGACCCTTAAGCCATGCAACCTGAACCTGCTGCTTATGTGGAGCCTCAGGTTTCCTCATCTGTAAAATGAGATTGATGGCTCTGAGTGTGCAGTTTTAAGGTCTGGAAACAGTACGTAAAAGTGCCAGTGGGACAAGGCAGGCCGATAAACTAGACTATCAAAAGCACAGAGATCATCATTTAGTAATGCCCCACTGAAATTACTCCAAGAAATGCCCGCCTACAAAGTGGGCCCAAGGAGTTGGCTCTAACACCAGCGGCTCTCCATTACCTCTGATCACACACTAGAAACATCTGGGAAACTAAGCATGCAGGTCTGGAACCTCTGGACTGGAACAAGAACCTCTGCAGGTAACACAGGCAATGCCAATGTACTGCAAGTTAAAATCCTGCAAGGCCACTCTGGCCTTTTTTTTTTTTTTTTCCTTCTTCTTCTTTTGGCAGCAGCGTGGTTTGAACTCAGGGCCTCAGGCTTGCTAGGCACGTGCTCTTAATGCTTCAGCCACTCCACCAGCCCCAGTCTATCCTTTCTAGGTCTGCTCTCAGAATCCTAGTCTGCTGGCCTGAAAACCTAAAGTAGCCCAAAGGGACACTTGTGTCCCTGGGGCCTGGCAGACACACATGCTGGGAAACCTGCTAGTGTCTGCGTGTTGATCGGGTTGTTGCTAACAGTAATGACAGTGGATGTAACAAGCTGTCAGACCACTGTGTTAAGAGATAGGGCAACTAACCGAGAAAAGGACTGCAGTGCACCAGCTTAGGTGCCTGGTGTCAGGAAGCTCACTATCAGTGATGAGACCACCTGGACCACTGTCCAGTGAAGTGTGTATGTGCAAAACAAGGAATGTCATGAATGTCATTGGTTCCACAGGAGGCAGAGAGGAGAACCACTCCAGGAGCTCTCGGGCAGGTTTTCAGAAGTGGTGGCTTTGAGCTCAGCCTTGACAGGTCCTTGTTGGACTCAGAAATGTGGAGGCGCTGGGGGCTAAGGATGGAAACCTGGTTACGTTCCTCACCTAGCATGGCTGTGGTAGCCTCAGGGCCACCCTCAGCTTCCCACAAAACCCAGGCAAAGACCAGCTCTTCACAGTCACCTGTTATAGCTCTGCTATCCAACTTTGCACACAAGACAAGGTCACCATTGGGGCTGAAGCCGGCCCCTGACACCTGGGGGTGGAAATGGCTTAAAACACATTTTGCCAACCATCCCCATCCCTTTCTTTTTTTAGTGGAAACAGGAAATGAAAAGACATAGTAAACTATTGGGTGCGCTGTTAAAATGGAAGCTGTTATTTTCATGTCAAATTAATACAAACAAGTTCATTCTAATAGTTTGACTTTATTTAATAATGATTTCAGACTTATGTCACCTCATTATGGCAAGAGCCCTGGAGGTAGTTTTTGGGTCATCAGCCAATTATGTCAGCTTTACTAGAAGTTTTTAGACTATGAGGATCAGAGGAACCAGATCTGCCAATCATGAACCTCTCATGGTACCACACAGTGACAGCTATAAGGACCTTACAGATCTAGCTCTGTTTTGTCATGTTACAGATGGGGAAACCAAGGCCCTGGCAGGAAAACGGATGTGTCAAGTTCAGGTCTCTGAATTCTTTCTCTCCGCTTTCAGCTTACCTTCTTAGTGGAGTCTCGTGGGCCTGCTCTCTGAAATAAAAGAAGCATGAGGCCCATGGTCAGACTTTGGAATGAGGTGAGAGGAGGGCAACCTTCAGCTTTCAGCCATTCCGATCCTCTGTATGGGAAAGTCAGCTGAGAAGGGAAGTGACTCACCCAAGGGCCAAGATTAGACTATGTCTCCTTCTTGCCTCTTAGCCTCCTAACAGAAGCTTCCACAATGGACTATAAAAGGAATGGCATATGGTGGCATGGCCAGCTCAGAGAAGAGGATAAGGTTAATGACCTTGAATACAAATGATCCAAAAAATGACTGGGTAAATACTGGTTTTCCTAAATGGTGTCACCTTCTGTGAACTGCCCTGTTTCTGGAGAGAGCACCTGGGAGAATGGAGGTAACTGCAGTTAGAGTGGACATAAAGGCTTTGAGGTGGGAGCAGGATTGTGGCATTCAGACAACCTGCACTTGGGTCCTCAGTAATTCTAAGACTCCTTCTTTGGTGAGGAAGACCACCTCACCAGTGTTCTGGCACCAAACCTCAAAGTGTGCAGGGTCCTCCAGGGCCCTCTTGCCAACAATTATCACGAAGGGGTAGCCAAGCTTGTTGGCATCTTTCAATCTGTTTCCAATACTCAGATGGGTCCTGTCATCCAACACGACCTCCCCATGGAGGTGAGGCACCGCCTCTGTGATGTGATCATAGAGGTGCCCAGAGAGCTCTGAAGTTTCTGCCTCCTTACTACCCTTCTTAGGTGGGATGAGGCAGACTTGGTAAGGGGCCAGGAGGCTTGGCCAGCGGACACAGTCTTCTGTAGAGAGAACTTCAATGGCAGCAGCCAAGATCCGTGTTACCCCCAAGCCATAACATCCCATTTCAGCCAGGGATGGTTTGCCATGGGCATTGGTAAACTGAGCATTGAAAATGGAGGAGTACTTGGTACCCAGGTAGAACGTGTGCCCCACCTCAATGCCTTTGGTTTCCGTCAGCGGTCCCTGACAAGCAGGGCAGTTTGTTTGTGACAAGTCTAGTATCTCCATGTTGGCTGAGAAGTTGCAACTGGGACAGATTGCGAGCCGGTCCTCTCCAATATCCACTGGTAGCTGGAACTCGTGAGACATGTTGCCCCCGATGCTGCCCACATCTGCCTGGGCCTTGATAAATCTCAGCCCCAGTCTGTCAAACAGGCGGCAGTAGGCATCGCACACTAGGCAGTAGGTCTGCTGGGCAGTCTCTGGGGAAGAGTCGAACGTGTACATATCTTTCATGTAAAACTCCCGGCCACGGAGAAGACCAAAGCGGGGCCTGGGCTCATCCCGAAACTTCCTTGTCACCTGGTACAACAGGAACGGAAGCTGCTTGTAGGACAGTTTCTTCTGGGACGCAACCAGGGCTGTAATGACTTCTTCATGAGTTGGTCCTAAGCAGTATTCCTTGCCATGCCTGTCTCTAAGTCTTAGAAGCTCCTTACCCATCAGGTCCCAGCGGCTGGAAGCTCGCCAGAGCTCTGCCGGGCCAAGGGTGGGCATATTGACTTTCTGTCCCCCAATGGCCTGCATCTCCTGGTCTATCACCTGCACGAGCTTCTCCATGGCACGAACAGTATAGGGCAGGAGGTGGTAACAGCCAGGACTTGCTGGGAGGACCAGGCCCACCTGCAGCATCAGCCGCTGGCTCTTACAAGTCAAGCTGTCAGATTTTCCATCCAAGGACAGCACCTGGTCTTCCCTCAAGTTCTGCGGCTGGAACATGCGGGACAGAACCAAGCGCTGCCCTTTCCCTGGGCCACAGGGGTGAAACCTGTGGGGAACATATTCAGACAGCTGGCGGCTGCAGGTGGCCAGGGCAGACAATGCTCTGCATCTTGTCAGCAGGCCTTCCATGACACTCCAGTACAGGGAAGAAAAACCTGGAGAAAAACGAGTTGTGTGGGATGAGCGTTGACTGCATTCTGGCACCAAGAGTGGCCATTCAGGCTGAGGCAGGATAGACAGGATGGATGAGACATGGGAAACAGCAGCCAGGCATTCAGAGACAAACACTATTAATGAACAGCTTCATTAAAAGCACACAGGCAAGGGGGTGGGGGCAGGGGGGAGAAATGAACCAAGCCTTGTGTGCACATATGAATAATAAAAGAAAAATGAAAATAAATAAATAAATAAAAGCACACAGGCATTGTTGTCTTTAAGCCTTAACTCCCTCAATACGCTGCAACACTTAGTAAAAAGGAAGGGGGAAAAAAAAACAACAATCCTCTCCCTCTAACCTTTCCAGTTCGCCCAAATAATTAGTGTGCTCTGGAAACTAAGCAAAAATATTGTAAAGAAAAGCATTTATCCTAGAAAAAAAACACTGGGGAAAATGACTCCTCTGGTCACAAAAAATGTTTACAAAGGAAAATATGACAAGGATGGACGTCTGTCATGAAGGGGGCATCTGGCAGGACCCAGCCTCTGCTTACAAGAACGCTCAAACATTTATGTCATAATGACCCAAATTTAATTAACAATACAATCTTAAAATCTTTGGGCCAATTGGTAAGACAGTGTAATAACAAGAATGATTAAATATACCAGGTGTCAGAACAAAGGTGAGCAGTTATCCTAAGGTGAATTTCAGTCAAATCCCCAATCTACTTTTTCACCATAAATACTCCTGACATTAGAGTACTCATTGCCCCTGTTATCACATGTGCCCACACCCATGTCTGGGTTATGCACTATCTTTCTTTTTCCTGGCGGCATTGGAGTTTGAACACAGGGCCTCAAGCTTGCCAGGCAGGTGCTTTACCAGTTGAGCCACTCCACCACCCCTTTTCTTGTGTTGAATATTTTCAAGATAGGGTCTCAAAAACTGTTTTCCCAGGCTGGCTTCGAATTGAGGTCCTCTTGATCTCTGCCTCCTGGTAGCCAGGCGTGAGCCACCGGCACCCAGCATTGCCATACTACCTTTCTATATTTGCTTTACTAACAAACTTTCTTGGTTGAGGTATCCTAAATTTCTTGTTTGCAACATCATGACTCAGCACCCAAGGGCCAGGTGGAGGCCTCCTCCCTTTCGGAGACTTCCCTGGAACACCACAGATTCTAGTAACAGGTCTGGGCTCTAGCAAGCTCCTAAAACAGGTATTGACTGTGCAGATGCAAATTCTCCCATTTCTCATATTCCTGTACATCAAAGTACTACTTCTCTTAGCATTTCCACTTGTTTTTTTTTAATCAGTATTTTCCTCATTATGAAGACGTAACAACCTACTGTGCAGACACCACTGAGTAGAGTGTGCAGGGCTTTGGAACCCGGGAGCCTGGACTCCAGACAGGCTTCCCCCAGCTGCTCTCTATGTAGCCTAGGACATGTGGCTTAGCCCCTCTGTGGTCAGTTTGTTCATCTGTAAAGTGGTAATGACAACTGGACATTCTGTGTAGGTTTACTTTGGGAATTTAGGGAGTTAGGAAAAGCTCTTAGGACAGTTTCTGGCACATACTAATAGCTTGGTAGATATTTGCTATTTTTGTTATAATTTTAGGAAATTGGGGAAAGAAACTGAAACAATTAAGTCAACTATAATCCCTCCCCTGACTGCTGCTGACATTTTGTTGCAATCCCTTGGCTCTTTTACAAACTCTGTCTCCCTACCTCCCACTTAAGTATCAGTACCACCTGCCTCTGCTCTCCTCCCCGCACACAATCCCTGCTCAGTCCTCATCTCCTCTCTCCGTGTGGCTTCAGACCTACTATCCACCTGACCCTTGGAGAACAGTGCACAGCGATTTGACACTCCAAGTTGCAAAATGAATCCAGCATCTCCTGCCAAACCCATTCTCCCCCAGAGCTGCCATTACTCTGCATGGCACCACAAGCCTCCCTCTACCAAACCAGAAACCTGGGTTCATCTACCCTGCCCCTTGCTCGGCTACATTCACCAGCCCTCTGCTGCCTCTCTCCACAGCTGCATCCTGGTCTAGGCCACTGTCGTTACTCGCCCCCACTGCGGCAGCAGCCTCCTCATTGGTCTCCCGGCTTGCATTCCTGCCTCCTTCCACCCATTCTCCTTGCTGCAGCCATGGGGGAGGCTTCCCATACACAGATGGGCAATATATATTTTCTTGCTTGGAATGGCTTCCTGCTGCCCAGAGAATAAGGTCTAAACTTCTAACCTTCAGAGTGTGTACAGGCCACCAACCGTAACCCCAGGAGCTGGCCCTCTCCGGCCTTGTCTCTCTACTGCTCTCTCCCAGTTCCAGCTGCACCACACTCTTAAACACATATGCCCTCTGTGAGAAAGAGCACCCTTTCCCCTTTTTCAGAGCAATTATCTACCTTTTCTCTAGGCTGCAGGATCGCCATCCTGTCCTCTGGGAAGCCTTCCTTGTTTCACTCCCCACATTTCAAAAGACTGGCTTCTCCTGCACAGCCCACTGGTCCCCTATCAAACACTAATCACTGGCTAGGGTGACTGTTCAATGGCTGCCTGATTCCCTCCACACCCTCAGCTCTGTGCAGGCAAGGCCCCGTATAAACTATCACCACTGTATCCTAGAGTGGGGCAGGGGCTTCCTAGACATTGGCCAATGAATACGTATTTTCCTCTCTGATTTTATAAGATAGTCACACATTTCAAATGGAAGTAAAACCTTCCACTGACGGACTGTATAAAAAATGATTCTTCTGCCACCAGAGCTGCTGGTTTTCTGTTGTACATAATCTTCAACGAGCAGGTGCCTTTTTTCTTTTTGTTATATATTTGGGGAACATTTCGCGATGGAATTAATGAGTCAAAGTTTCTTGACTCTTAAGTGTCTTGATTTATATTGTCAAAGTTAGTAAGTACCTCTACTTTTTAGCAGTCCATGGAGCAAAGCCCCGGCAGCACGCTGAGAACAGGTTACCGATGTCTCTCAGCTCTGGGGCTGCAACCCCTGGTGGTTACCTTCAGCAGGTTCATTTCCACTAGATGGTCCCCTCAAGCAGCCCCATCCATTTCCTCTGTTCACTCTAAAAATATTAAAGTGGGGACGGGGGTGTGGGGAGAGGCACGACCACAGAGCTTTCTCATGGAAGTGTGGCCCAGGAAAGGCACATGAGGAGTCACACCTGGCTCCATCACTTATTTGAAATCTGACATTTTGCCAGTGGTCAAGTCAAAAACTCCTTCACCCTTGACTCTGCTAAAGCAAATGAATGTCTCTATGGATTCTTCTCAAGTTTGCCCACTTACTGCTTCAACCTTAGGTTAACCTCTCAATACCACTTGCGACATTACAGTAATCCAGTGAGCCTGAAATTTAACCGAGCATCAGAATCACCGTGGGCTTGTTAAAGCGCCAATGTGGGGAGGCGTGGCTCAAGTGATAGAGAACCTGCCTAGCAAGGCCCTGAGTTCAAACCCCGGTACTGCAAAATAAACAAAACACCACTCCTTTAGGCCCTTCCCCAGAGTTTCTGATTTGGCAGATCTGAGGTGTGGGCAGAGAACTTTATTTTTAACCAATTCCCAGGTGCTGCTGATGCTACTAGTCCAGGGGTCACAGTGGGAGAGCCACTGCAAGGGCCTTGCTGTGCCCCTGTGCTGATTTACACCATAAATCCCCTAAGGGCAATAATTATGTCTATTTTATTCCAAGTGTTATCTGCAGCATCCATCATAGTGCTGGACACAGTGGACATTCAATAAATGTTCTACCAATGAAATTAATGAGTCATATTACTGCTAAAAGGATGGCCGATTCAGTCACTCCACTGTATAATCCATTAACGGCTCCCCATCATAGATTCCTCAGGATGCCATCAAAGCTTTTCATATTTTGCTCTGAACACACCTCTTCGGGTTATCCTACCTTTTCTCTAACATGCCCCAAATTATTCATCCATTACCAGAACAGGCCAACCTTGCGCATCTCCTGGCAACTCCAAGTCATCATTCAGGTTTACTTCCTTCAAGCAGCTTCTCCTACCCCTTCAAACAGAAAGTCACTTCCTTCTCTGTGCCCTATCTGCCCACACCTCCTTATAGTAAACTGTACTGGAATCACTTCCAAAAATGTTTCCAGACATGTGTGTCAGGCATTGGCGTGAATGATCTTTCATGTCCTATTCCTCCATTAAACTATGAGTTCATTCCAGACACTGGTGGCTCACACCTGTAATCCTAGCTACTCAGGAGGCACAGATCAGGAGGATTGCGGTGTGAAACCATCCTGGGAAAATAGTTTGTGAGACCCTATCTTGAAAAAAACCCATCACAAAAAAGGGCTGGTGGAATGGCTCAGGTGTAGGCCCTGAGTTCAAATCCCAGTACTGCGGAGGGTGAGGGGGGGTACCACACACAAAAACTATAAGTTCATGAAGTTTTCCACATTATTGCATTTCAGGGTCTAGTATAAACAATGCCTAATACTTAGGCTATTATTGATATTTCTTAATCAGATGTTAATAAACGAAGACGAAAGTGGTGCAATGATAAAATTAGCTGGATAACTTAAAAGCTTTAAGCACTCTCCCTCTATTAGATATGTGCCAAACAGGAGAATAATTAGGATTCTTAATTTTTAAAGTTTATCCTTTAATATAGTAACTAACGTGTCCAGTGCTTCAGACTCGGGCAAAGTGCCTCTGAGTCATTCACTCATCCAAAACATCTTACAGAGTACCTACTCTGTGAGGCAGTCAGCTCTCCCAAGGCCTTTTCTAAGGTGCTTGGACCCACAGCTGCCCCGAAATCCAAGCAGAAAAACTGTACTCAAAGCTTTTACAGCAGTGCTTGATACCAGAAGTGTCATAAAGTGTTTACTATGATTATTGTGCACAACTCATAGGCTCTGAAATGTGAAGTCAATCGTGTCAGGCTAGAGCAATGGGACAGGATCTCCCCTGGAAGGCAAGAAACCCAATTCCAAATCCCACGACGTTTCCATCAGGGGACGGGCGACACGTAACAGCAATGGGACTCCACGCCCGGCTCTTAAGAACTGGCTCGGGGGTGACCCTGGTCCAGCCACTCTACTTCCCTGTCCTGTTTTCCCATTCATAAAATGAGAAGGTAGTTTAGTTTCAGCCACCCGGTGATCCCCGACGCCCTTCCGAGGCTGGCCCTTCTAGGAATATGGTAATTCTCAAAGACCACCCGAGGCCGACAAGGGAGGAAGTGCTGCCCTCACGTTTATAGCACAGAAGCCTGAGATCAGCTGACCAGCACTACCCAAGACTCTGAGATGGTAACCGTGCCCCAACTCAAGGACAGGATGCACATGGGAAAACGGACACATAGCTCCTTGCGCCCTGGCGCCCAGAACCCGGCCCTCACTATACTGAGCCATCCCGATCTGCCCTTCACGTGCTCCGGTCTTCCATGCTCACCAAAGGCAGTCGGGACCAGCTACACCCGCTCGTTCGCCACACGGGGCTAGCGCGCCTGCGCCAACTCACCTTCAGCCCGCCTCCTATCCCTCTAGCCAATCGCCAAGCCACACTCAAAGCGTCCAACCGGCGCCCTGGCCCCGTTTCACTCCCGAAGCGCCAGAGAGGTTTGCAGGGAGAGCAGAATGCGCGTACATTGTGACATTTACAAAAGTTCTTACAATAGATCAAATATACCATACTTGAATTCACCCTCTCCAGCATTCCCCCTTATTCGGCTCTTCTCCATGATCATAGATTAGCATAAGCAGCAAAGAGCCCGATCCCCGTTCCGGAAGTGCTCTCTAGGAATTAGGGAGGTGTAACTCTATGGTCTATAACAACTTCCGAGGATTTGAGCCTGGTGTTCCCGCCCACTGCCAGACCCGCCCCTCGCTTGGAATGGCAGGACCGCTGGCTACCGGGTAACCAGGAAAAATGAGAACCCTTGTCGTTTCTAATCCGTCCTCTGATTGTTCATGCTCCCAATTTAAATAACTTTAAAATTGTGAAAGAGTTGGAGAAAGGCACCTTTATTCCAGTGCCCAGTCCTTAAGATATGAATTCACATTTTCATGCACAAAATATTTTTTGAGCAGCCTTGTACAAGCCACTGTTGCAGACACCAGGAATCGCAGCATTCAGTTAGTTTACATTCTAGAGAGAGAAGACTGTCAATAAACCAATATGAATTTAAGCGGGGCAGGGAAGCGGGCACCACAGAACTCAGTAATTATGACAAATTGGATTTCGATACTTTTTTTTGTGCTATGGAATTTGAACTCAGGGCCCCGCCCTCTCTAGGCAGATGCTCTAAAGCCTTTTATGCTTTAGTTATTCTTCAGGTAGAGTCTCCTGTTTTTGCCCTAGGCAGACCTCAGACCTTGATCCTCCTACCTACCATTCGCCTCCCTTGTGGCTGGGATCACGGGTATAAATCACCACTTCCCCCCATTTTTTTTTGGTTTATTTATTCATTTATTCATATGTGCATACATTGTTTGGCCCATCTCTTCCCCATGTCCCCCGCCCCCCCTCCTTCTCCCCTTACCATTTTTATTTATTTATTTTTTAAGATAAAGTCTCACTTGTATCCCAGGCTGGCCTTGAGCTCCTCCTGCCTCAACCTTCCACGTGCTGGGATTACTGGTGTATGTAATACACCAGTATTACAACTACGGCAATACAACTACTTTTTTTAAACAAGTTTTAAAAAACAAAATTACAAAACAAAATTGCACACCGAACAAAACAGATTTTGGATAAAGGTACTATCTGTCAGAGGCTGTTACATGTTCTAGAATTAAGATAACTAAGGAATTAGAATGGAGTAGGGGCAGCTAGCTTCATTTTTTTTTCTCCTTTTATTTTATCGTTTTTACATTTACTTACATGTGAATACATTGTTTATGCCACCTCCCCTTGGCTAGCTGCATCTTAAAAACTGGATGATCATGGACTGCTTTGTTGAGAAGGTGACATTTTAACAAAGACCCGAAGGAGGTAAGAGACAGTCTTGCAGATATCTGGAGAAAGAATGTTCTAGACACAGGGAACAACAGAGGGCAAATATCCTGAGTGGGACTGCATGTCATATATTTTGTTTAATAACAACTACAGTTTTATAGAGTGTCTAAAATGTACCAGGCCCAATGCCTGACACTGGTGACTGTCATATGGGCGGAAGCAGTAATTTTACTTTTTTTTTTCTTTTGGCAGTACTGGGGTTTGAACTCAGGGCTTCAAGCTTGCAGGCAGGCATTCTACTACTTGAGCCACACTCCCAGCCCTTCAAGCACCTCTCAGTTTTCCAGGAGCTACCAGGAATAATGCTACGTGCACCCTGTGGTCACCATATCCACAGGGACGTTCCCTGTGGGAACGTGGGAAAGGAGGCTCACTGAGGAGGTAGACTTTGAGCCCACTTTAGAGATGAATGGGGTTTGCCAGGACAAGAATGATGGTGGGGGTGATGGAATGTCTGGCAGAGGGAGCAGGCCACTCAAAGGTACAGATATGTTGAGGTAGCAGCTGGTGTGGTGGAGTTTACATCTTTATTCTCACAGCTCCTGACACAGTGCTTGACACGAAGGGCAGAGCTGTGGCCTACCTTGACCTCACTGGAATCAGCATGTGCCCCGCCACGCATGAGGTGCTGATCTGGGGTGAGCCTGTGTGGCTATTTCAGTCTCCTCCAGAGCTATTCTAATGTGCAGCCTGAGTTAGATGAACTGCTCTATAGAAAAGACACTAAAGATGCACAGAAGCATCCCAGTCTTACCGTTGAGACAAATACTGGTCAGGTGGAGCACGTGACTAGCATCTGCCCACCCTTGAGGAGGCCGGGCAGAGCTGGGTGCACCTGAGCTCTGTCTCTACAAACCACTCTGGACCTCTGGGAACCAGCACTGTGGGAGGGACTTTCCCCAGGAAGTGCAGTCCCAGGGTTTTCTTTGGGCAATATTCCCCACTCTTGGCGGGGCAGAGACATGCCATCTTCAGAATTTCTCAGGATCCACGTATCCAAATGAGTCTTTTTATTTTCCCTGTTCTCATGTACATAATTACATCCCCTCCTATCCTGGAAAAGCCAGGCAGCAGTCCTCTGCACCCTGAGGGGGTTAATTATTTCTCAATTAGCGGTTCCCAGGCCGTAGAGTAGAGCATAGTGGTATGGAGAGGCCTAATGACTTGCCGTGTTTATACACCCCGACATCTTCAGAGCACTTACTAATGGTAACTAATTAATGCTCACGACCCCCTTGGGAGGCAGGCCAAGCATGCTGCATTGTACTGTGAGTTCACAGGAGTCTGCAGCCTGGAGCCCAGAGTCGGCTCAGGCAGCCAAAGTCAGGAGAAGATTTGTTCCTTGCCTAGCCAGTCCAAGGTGGTGGAGACCTAGCAACTGACCCTGTTGATGCTAGCAACTTCCTGTGTGACATTTCAATCACTCAATGGACGGGTAATTTATTAGATACTTAATTTACAGAGCTTATTCGTGGTTAAAACACACACACACACACACACACACAGAAAAAAAATCACTTATTTATTAGTTATCCAAAAGAAAAATGAGAGAAAAGAGCCTCATAGCTGCCTTGGTGCCCAAGCATCCTGGGGACACACCATGCACTTAGTGGTGGTCCCTGGCCACACTGGGATCTCCTGGAGGGAAGTCCTGGTTTTACTCTTTTCTGTTTCCTCAGACCTGCGCTGGGGCTCAGCAAACGGTGGTGCTTTGTGTGTTTGCTTACGATTTAATATACCAATCAATGGATGGATAGATGGATGGTTGGCTTCCCCTCAGGTGGCCTGCTCCTCTGAGGACTCACAAGTCATCCCTTCATCCAGAACTCATGGCCCGGCACCAACAGGGACTTGGAGTGTGTGGGTGGAGTTCATGATTAAAGTTGGCTGTGAAGTCCAGGGCTCCCTGGAGAGGCTGCCTCTCAAAGCGGAGAGCATAGTGCCTTATTGTGAGAAGCTGTGCACCCTTGCACCATGCAACATGGTGTGAAGTGAGTAGAGGGGTAGGCATCAGGGGACGCTTGTGTGCAGAGAGACGCATTTTCCTTACAATGGCCATGGAAAGTCTATATTGGTATTATAAAATGTTGGGTAATGAGATAGTGGAGTTCCTGTCTTCATTTCTACTAGGTGCCAAGTTTTGAATCTCAATATATATTGACTGAATTAATGTATTTCTACACAATTCCATCAGGTCATAAGAAGGGCTTGCTACTAATGCAACAAAGCAAAAGCAAGCAGTAGTTAGTTGAGCAGTAACAACTTTTTGAGCACCTGCTTGGGGTTGGCTCTGCAGAACTCTGGGCTGGATAATTTTTAAAGAATAGAAATGTATGTCTTACAGTTCTGGAAGTTGGGAGGTCCAGCATCAAGACACCAGAATTTGATCATGGGGAGAGCTACTCTCTACTCTCAAAACGGCACCTTCTTGGCGCATCCTTACATGGTGCAAGGGGGCAAAAAGGGATGGACACTGTGTCCTCACGTGGCAAGAGGTGTAAGGGCAGAAAGCCCTGAAGCCTCTTTCATAAGGACACTAATTCATTCAGGTGAGGCCCCATATCTCAATGCCTTCCCCTTTGAGGTTTACTGCATCATAGGAGTTTTGAAGGGACACACACATTCAAACTATAGCAGTGGTGCAGCCAAGTTGACGCATAAATTAACTATCACAGGGTGTTAAGGTGCTTCCCCAAGAAACAGATCCTGACCAGGTTTGAAGCAAGCAGTTCCCCCCACCTCCAGTACTGGGGCTTGAACTCAGGGCCTACACCTTGAATAACTCCACCAGCCCAACCCCCTTTTTTATGATGGGTTTTTTTGAGATAGGGTCTCCTGAACTATTTGCCTGATCTAGCCTCAAGCCACGATCCTCCTGATCTCTGCCTTCTGAGTAGTTAGAATTACAGGCGTGAGCCATTGGCACCCAGCGAAGGAAGCAGTTCTTTTGGGAAATGATCCCAGGAAGCACAGTAGGGGACAGGGCAAGTGAGACCAGAAGGGAGGAAAATGAGTTCAGGAGGTGACAATGAGTGGTTTGTTGCTGTGGGCCACTGAGCCTCAGTCTTCCTGAGGACGTCTGGAGACAGTGTGGAACATGTCTCAGAATTGTTCTCTTCCCAGGGCTCAGGCAGCTGAGGTGCCACCCTCCAGATTTCATTCGTCATTGGTCAAAGGCTGCTCCTGGTGGCATCACCATCGGTGCTTGTAGATTGCCACATGCTTGGCTGAGCTTGAGGCTTCTGTAGATACTGGCAGTGTTTGCCCAGGATGACCAGGGGATGTGCCTGGTGGATGAGGGCAGAGAGAATGTAGGCTGGCACCAAGGTAATATGGAGCAGTCTTGCCTGATAAACCACTACCTTGTTTAAAATACTGCTTTTCAGGTCTCTGATGCTCAAGCTCAGCCTAATTCTAACTGGGACCACCACTAATAGCTGTGCCACCAGAAGGCAGGGAGCAATCTTCTCTTCTGCCAAGCTAGAAAATTCTGGGAAGAACTCCGATTGGTTGAACTTGGGTCACATGCCTGTGTCTGTTGTCAGGGGGCGGGGCATTATGATTGACACCCCACCACTTATAGTAAGGGAAGGAGCAATCAGAAGCCCACCTCCAAAGTGGTATGCTATTCCCATCAGGGAGGAGTGTGGGGCAGATGAAACCATGCATCTTTAGGATCAGTAGGAGTTGCTGTGCTTGTTTCTTTTATTCTGTGGATGGCAAATAAAATCCAAAGAAGAGCTGCAGTTTAATGCAACTATAATCATGCCAAATAGAACAAGCCCCACCACGGAGCTATTGACTGGCTACGAAATATAAACATGAAAAATCCGTCCGAATTTTATGTGTTCAGTTTATAGAGCAACATATGCGATGGAAGAGAAAGTAATCTAAACCCAAACAGTTAAAAAGCCATTCATTAGGGCTGGTTAGCCGTCCTGCCATTCAGTGTGGCATGAAGGAACTTCAGGAAAGCTACATAACTTTTCTGGGCCTCAGTTGCCTCATCTGTAAAAATGGGAGCAATGCTGATGCATAGCTTATGGGCTTGTGAGCATTACATAGGGTTGGGCGTGTGCACCATACGCAGTGACTGGCCATGGCAGGTGTTCAGTAAATCATTTTGATGGTGATGATAAACAATTATTTTTCTATGTCTTCCCTGTGGGGACCTTTCCTGTTCAGTCTTAATTGTCCCTCCATGGCCACCTGGAGCTTTCCCACAGCTCCACAGGAGTCTGCTGGCCACTCTCTTAACAGAGCACCTCCTCTTCTAACAAATAGAGAGGTTGCGTTCTGGCCATACCTGGGAAGAGGACAGTACCTCTAGGTAGCGGGATGGCAGGAGCAGAAGCAAGGAGCTGGTAGTGGGGGAGGGAGGACTGGTGTAGAGCTGGTGCCAAGCCTAGGATGACTGGGGGTGGGGAGGAACTTAGGGAACACCTTGTCTCTATTCCCATCAGCAAGACCCCATGGAGCTGGGAAGGCCTTCTCCCTGAAAGTATGCCGGCAACGCTGGGATCTGTTTCCATCTGCTCATTTTACTGCTGAGCTGAAAAGTGGTAAATGTCATTATCCTCCCCTTCCTTAAACAAGAAAAAAGTTAACAGCCTGAAAAGGAGATATTTCACTTCATTTGGCATCCAGCCACCATCATCCACACAGGGTGCTCCCTTGGGATCTGATTAGGAACAGAGAGAAGCCATGTTCTGTTCTGCTTTCAGCTGCCAGCACTTGCTCTGTGCAGGTCCAGACTGGGACTGGCAGCCAGAGGCCAGGTCAGAGCTAAAGCTTGGCTGCTGGCAGAGTTGCCAGCCACCTACTGTATAACTTCAACACTGTAAAAGGTGCCAAAGCAGACAAGAGAGAAAGTGGTCAGAGGAAAGTACCAAGTTCAAGGTCACTTTGCTTCTTAACTTATGTTCTGTGTGGCCCCATAAGATGGGCTTGAACTGGGGAAAGAAATCACAGAAAAGATTTCAACTCAATAGAAGAACAACCGTGGAAGGCTTAGACCTGTCAAAAAGTGAATTATTTGATGAGGTAGTGGACTGCCTGTCTGCCCGAGGTATGTGGTTGCTTAGACTCTTCCTTCTGACCTCTCACTGTGGTCTGGATGGAAGGCTGGAACAGGTGACACTGAAGTTCTCTGCAATTCTGAAATCTATGAAATCTATAACCTGGCTAAGGATGTCTGGTGTGGAGGGACTGGGCCAGCCAGCTGTTTCACCTAAAACCTTCAATAGCTTCCATACGTCTTCCAAGGTCCCCAGTGTGGCTCATAAACTCTGCCTAACTTGCTCTGGGTAGTCTAGGCTGTGATCTCCCTGAAGACAAGGACAGGGTCTGTTTTATTCCCTTCCCATGGTCCCAGAACTTGGCACTAGGCTTGCCATTTGGCCAGTGCCTGGTAAATATTTATTGAATGAATGAATGGAAGAACTGTGGTCCATCTGGATTTGACAAAAGTGAACTTGGCAAGGAGGCATCCCTGAAAGAACCATGAGTCTGCAGGCAGTTTTGAGCTTGATCTTGGACAGGTCCCTGTTCTTTGGGCCTGTTTCCCCATCACAAAGCTGGGGGAACTGGTGTGAGGCTGGACAGGAGGTAGAAAGAAAAAATCATGTTTCTAGCTGAGCTCTAGACCTCAAGGGTCTTGACTGGCCCCAACCTCAGTCCTGAGGACTACATAATGAAGTCACCTGTTTGGAACTGAGAGGCCAGGTCACTGCTGTAAGTTTATTTAGTTCAACATCCAAAATTAAACCTGCCCTGTGTGCAAGCTCAGTGCAGGGCTATGGGGCAAATTAGGTGGGAGTCCTGCTGCAAAGAACCTGCAGTCCAATGAGGGTAAAGGACATGAACATGGGATTATGATCTGAGGACAAAATGAACACCATGTGGTGTGACACAATTCTTCCATGCAGGAAAGGGAGGGGTTAATGGAAGGTGAGAGGATGCAGCAAGACTTCTTGACGAAGGTGCCTTTAAGCTGAGCACTTGGGACAGGATGACAGGAAAAGAGTCAATGGAGATACAGGATGTGCAAAGGCCCAGAGGTTAGATGGTTTGAGAACAGATGGGGTAGAGTGAGAGGTAGAATCTGTGCCCACAGGGCACCAGAGAGGCCCAGCTCTTGAGGGAAGATGACATATCTCCTGCAGGGCTGTATTCCAAGAGGCAGCATGGAACAGGGCTGGTCTGCCTTAAGTCCTGGCTCTCACGTACTTATTTGCGACCTTGTCCGGTGTTTCACTGTCCTCATCTGTAAAATGAAGGTTAGAATGGCTACCCTTCTTGGCTGTTGAGAGAATTCATGGAGATAATGTGTGTGAAGTACCTAGAACATAATAGGTGAATAAGGGGATTTCTTATCTTCTTTTGACTTTGGTTAATATGCAGATGGCCCTGAGGGAAATCAGAATTGGTGTTTTTAACCATTTATATGATCAGTGTGAATGAGATAATCAGAAAGTTTATTGAAAAGGTTTGACCGAAGGGAGCAATGGAGGGAGAAATGCTTGACCTTAGGGACAGGAAACAAACTGGGGAGACTGTAGGATAGGACAAACTTCACCAACTTTGAAGTCTTGCCAGCAGACGACCCTAAGTTCAATTTGGCTGTTTAGTGAAGCAGGAGAAGGAAGTAGGTTCTCATCCTAGGGACGATCATAGTCTCAGTCTTAGGTGAAGGGATGGGGTGGAAGGTTGGGGAAGAAGAAGACAGGACATGTGTGCCTCTCACTGTTGAGTCACCTCCTGGTCTTGTTGTAATGGAGGCAAGAGGAGAAGCGGGGAGGGAAAAGATGTCACCATCCAAAGTGCAGAGCCACTGGAGACCTCAGGGTGGCCTCACTGCCCAGATTTCACATGGACCTGGAATGCCACCATTAGTGTTAGAGCAATGAATATCAGAGTGCCCCATGTGACAAGTGTCACACAAACCTTTAATACATAAACATGTAATGCTTTAGTGCTGGTCAGTTTATTAGCATTTATTCAAACCTTAAACAGCCTCCAAGTAATCACAGGTATAGGATGAAGAGACTGGGTAGGGTGACTGTGGCAAGTCACTACCCTTCTGAGCTCTCAGCTTTCCCATCTGCACAGTGGAGGCTCTGTGGGTGTAACCTAAGGCATGCACTTCAGTCTGTTCATGTCCCTGGTCAAGTCTGAGCAAGGACCAGGGACATGGGCAATGCAGGGAGTGTAGCTCTTCAGAGAAAGTAAAAAAGAACCCAAAAACCATTATGGGGGGGTTTCTTGTTGCAATTATGTACAATTAAGGGCTGGTGGAGTGGCTCCGGCAGTGAGAGCACCTGCCTAGCAAGCATGAGGCCCTGAGTTCAAACCCTAGTGCCCCACCCCCCCAAAAATAAATTCTGCTAGCATTCCTGGAGTCTGACAAGAACTTAATCTGGAATTTGAGGTTAAATTAGATTTTGTGTGTGAGGCCACAGAATCCAATCCAGCCATTCTGAGATTTGATGGCAATCAGATTCTGTCTTTGACAAAATTCTACTTCTAAGATTTTAGGACTATGATTCCGAGTGTGTAAATTCCCTTCACTCTCTGTTCAAGTTCAAGATTGGGGGCAGGTGGTACTTCCTAATGGGTGGGGACCCTAGGTTCCCCCACAGAGCAGAGAAGTCAGGTAAAGGCTCTGTTGATGAATTTTATTTCCGAGAACTTGGGAGACCTTTCAGACTAAGCTGGCCAAGGAAAAGGCCTGCTGGAAAGCTGGAAGAGAGACAGGAATGGGCTCTGAGCACCCTTAGCCCACTCAATGTGCAAACTTGCCCTCTGTGCTTTTCTGGCTGTAGACCTGAGAGACCTTCAGCTTAAAGGGGGCTTTCTTATAAGGACTGAGTGTGGTTCTTGGGACTCTAAAAACAGGCACTCAGGAATCAGGCACTAGAGCAAGGGAACTAAAAATTGCCACAACTGAGGCAACTTTTGTTTCTCTAAGAAGACTTGGGCCATCTTTTTTTCTCTGCATGTTTGCAAAACTCTGTCTCTTAACGGGCAGTTTCCCAGTGGCTTCTTACGCCCGTTCCGAGACTCCCTTGGCCTCCTGAATCAGATCTTGTTGCCTCCGTGGGCATTTCGATCTGCCAATGTCTCAATGTCCCCGTTCACAACTTCCGAAAAGAATTCAATTGGCTCTGCTCGCCGGACAGAATGCCTTAGACGTCCAGGCTTGGTCCAATAAGCAGTCGCGGGGGCGGGGCCTCGCAGGGCGGAGCCTCATCGGGGGTCCCAGGAGGTGTCCATCATCTGCAACCGTGGTTTACACCGACAACGTTCGGCGGCCGCGTGGCGCTCCTGCACCTTCACTCTTAAGCTCCATGGTTTCGAACAGCAGCCGCACCAGCGCCGTCCGTCCCTGGACCACCAAGGCCCGGGCCAGCCCCAGCACCTCGTCCGTGTGGCTGCGCCACACGCGCTGCAGCTCCTGGCGCAGGCACGCCGCGGGGTACTTACTCTGGGCGAGGCGCAGCCAGATGTCCACCTCGCAGCCCAGCTCGCTGTCACTCAGCTGCGCCTGGCTCCACTGCGCCAGCAGCGTCTCCAGCAGGCAGCGGAAGCCCTCGGTGTGGCCGGAGCCCGCGTCGTCCAGCTCCACGGCGCGCTTGAAGCAGGCGGCCGCGTTGGCCTCCTCGCCCTGGACGCGCAGGCATTTGCCGCGCAGCAGCTGCAGCTCGGGCAGCGTGGCGCCCACCTCCGACTCGGCCGCCTTGGCCAGGAAGACCAGCGCCTGGTTGAGCGCCGCCTCGTCCACCGCCAGCAGCTCCTTTACCGCGTCCACGCCCATGTAGTAGTAGACCTGCGTGGGGGTGGCCGGTGAGCCTTCCTCCCGCGCAGTCGCTGCTTCCCGCCATCCATCCCCACTTGTTAACACCCTTTCCCCCGCCCCCACCCCCTTCGATAACTTCATCCCAATTTTGTGTCTGCACCCTGGAAAAGGAGAAGCAGTACTGGGATTCCAGTTCCAGTCCCTCCCTCTTAGCCATAAAACCTTGAACAAGTCAACCGCTGGACCGCGATTTTCTCATGACACCATCACCTCTTGGTAACCACTCCCTGAGCATAATAGGCACTTCTGGATCCAGAATAATGGCCCATTACTGAGTGCTTACTTCGCTATCCTCAGTGCCCACACCTAGGTTGGCAGGTTCCCAGGGAGCCCTTGGTTAACAAAGTCAAGAGACTGCCTTACCTGGCTGATGTCGAGGTATGTCCTGAGGCCTGGGCTCACCTTGACCACTTCCTCCAGGTCAGCCTTGGCACAGGCCAGGTGGTTCCTGTCAGGCATGCCCCCAAGTCCTGCCTTGGCCCGCTCCAGGTCATGCAGGTAGGCTCTGATGTGGATCTGCCAGTAGAGAGTCAGCTCAGGGAAGGTGCTCCAAAAAGGAACCTCTGCCTCCTTTGCGACCCAAATGAAGCCAGTCTCTCCACAGCACCCAGAGACATTCTGTGGTGCAGCAGCAAGCCCCCCTCCTCTTCCAGGTGGGGACCCAGGAGTTCTAGGCTTTAGTCCTGTGCCAATTTGGCTTAGTCACTCCTCCCTTTTCTGGGCCTGTGTCCCTGTCTGTACAGTGAGGGAGTTGGACGAAGTAAGAATCTCATCCATTCACTCCATTCATTAATTCATTCAGCAAACATGTATTGAGCTCACCCCCCCATTTACCAAGTGACCTGGAGAAAGTCACATAACCTCTGTGAATACCATTTTCTACATCTAAGAAGTTAATACATTAAAATCTGGGGGGATAACCATGACAACAGAGAAGATATATTTTAGTTAGGCCCTAGCACATGCTTGGTTTATTCCTTCATTCAACAAATGTGCATAAAGTGCCTACTAAGTGTCAAGCACCAAGGGCAGAGACAGAATCCCAAAACCCCTGCTCTTAGGGCTTGAGTGTTAATTGGGGAGACGTGGTAAGTAGGTAAATAGTAAGATAGGGAGTGGTTGGTGTTAAAAAGAAAATGTAAATCAGAAAAGGAGAGAAAATATTGGTAAGGCATTGATATTTTCAGTAAGATGATCATTAGAAGCTGCCTTTTTGTCAGGCCTGTAGGAGTGAGGGAAGAAGCCAATCAAATACCTGTGAGAGAGCATTCTAGGTGGAGGCCCAGGCCAGTGCAGCTGGAAAAGAGTGATTGACACAGGGGCAGGGGGAAGTGGGGTGGAATAGGCATAGCCAGGCCTGGGCTTACAGGTCCCAGTGTGAGCTGAGGCTTCTACATAGATCATGTGAGTTCCTTCCCCTCCCTTCCTCCTTCATCCAGTCATTTGAGTAGTAAGTGGGACCTCTGTAGTTACAGAGAGGCAGCGAGCAAAAGGCACAGATGATGATGAGTAAGGAGATAAAGCTGGAGTTTCCGCTAATTGAATACAGGACCCTGGGAAAGTTTGCTGCCTCCTGGTACCATGATGGCCTCACGTGTACACTGACATATGTCTGAGCTCTCTCACAGGATTCTTATGAGAATTAATTCAGACCACAAACATGAAAGTGCTGGGTGAGACGTGAGTTTGTATAGAACTGTTTTATGGTTTACTATTATGATTAATATCCTTATTATAGATAATAATAACCACATCAACTACAGTGAAAGATTTTCCTGCCTAGTATCTTCTGGCAGGATAATTAAGCCATTGAGATTAAAACCAGGGGCAGAGTGGTCACTAGGTCATGTGAAAGGTGGTAGAGAAGACAAAGGAAGGGGGTTTATTAGTTTGAAGCAAAGTAAACTCAGAGAATCGGGTCTCTGGGCTGTGTGGGCCTTCAGAAGCAGAACTGGGCCCAATGGAGACAGCTGGAGGGAGGCAGCTCTCATCTAAATGTGTAACTAGCAGCGCTGAATGACTGTCCACTGAACTGTCTCAAGAGATGTGAATCAGTTAGAAATGAATGGAAAATAGCAACCAGTCACTTAGGATGTGCTCAATGCTGAGTGTACATACAGCATCTAATCTGATTTTCAACTCCATGGGGCAGGTACTCCCATCTCCATCCTACAGATAAATAAACTGATGCTTTGGAATGTTTGGCTGAAGGCCTTATAGCATGTTAAGTGGTGATGTGGAATCTGAACCAAGGCCATCTGCGTTTGGGCACACATTCATCTGCCTCTACTGAACTCTGACTTTCCAAAAGAACTTCTTACATCCCAGAGCTATGCTTCAGTGCTATGCCTCATTTAGCCTTTGACACCTAAAATGGTGTCTTTCAAATTTTAGAAGTAAGTTTGTGGGGAGGAGGGTGGCTTGCCACAGTTTCCACAGTAATAGATAGAGAGGCTGTATTTCAGCTCCAGTTAGTCTGACTGCATGGGGTCGATCAGAAGAGCCTGGAGGAAGGGGCCACTACTATGGGAAGGGGACTCTCCATTCTTGTCTTGAATAACCTAAGCTCCCTCCCGCCATAAGTCTCCAGAGCCTTTGGCTCTGGCAATAGGGTCTTGGGGGTCTCGACCGCTAGCCTGTGGCCTGATTCCTGATGGCACGATGAAATAGGGCTGCAGGATGACCCACCTTGGCCCTTGTGCAGTATGCCTGCCAGTTGAGCTCTGGGTCTCGAAGGACATCCAGGGCCATGTTGCAGGTTCCAATGGCCATGTCCTGCTTTCCTAGGAAGTGGAAGATTTTGGCCAGCCGATTTAGGATGGGAGGTTGGTCCTTGGCAATCTCAATGGCCTGGGAAGGAGGAAGGTAGGAGCAAACCATGTGTCTGCTTGTCTGCCAGACTGGTTAAATGGTGCCTGAGCCACAAGCATCCCAGTTCTGCAAAGTGCCAGACCACCACATACCCATATTTACCCACAGCCAACCTCTAGGCAGCTCTGTCATGTGGAACCCAACACTTAGGGGCAAACCCACTGCACTCAATTACCAAGAGCCCAACATGTTCACCCATCGGGGCCAGCGAACACTTCTGGGTCCTAGACAAGCCTCCTTCCAATACGGGCTCCCCCAGTTTTTCAGGGCAGGTAAGAGTAAAGGCCAAAGTCAGCCTGTGTCTCCCCCATATTAAGGAGTTTCTAGGTGGGCCACAGCAGTTGGTATTGACTGCTGCCTGTTGGAAGTGACTTGCCTTAGGATTATACAGCCAGTGGGAAGAGCTGGCAAGGAGACCCCAGCTAAATGATTCTATCTCCACTGTGCCACTGCGGGTGGGAGGAAGGAATCCGGGCAGAGGAACCAGTGTGGACCCAGGCCTCAGTGGAAAAGTCTGAGGTTCTGTCCCAAGCCTGGAGAGCTGGGCATGGGCTAGCTTGGGTGTGTGTGTAAACTTGGTCTTAGGCACAGAGGAATGGCCACAAGGAAGCACTTTTGCTTTGAATGAGGAGGATGGAGAGGGGTCTGGAGGGAGGGTCCTCCTGGGTGGGTCATATGGTGGGATGACATCCAGAGAGGCAGTGTCTCTGGGGGAGTGGTGAGGGTCACAGTCCCTCCTGGTTTGTGGAGTGGGTATGACTTGGGCATGTACCTTGCCAAAGCAGTCCAGGGGGTCAGTCCCCGAGTACCCGCAGTCGTGGACACCCATTGGGGTGGTTGAAAAGGTGTCCTTCCTCTCCAGCAGCATGCCAAGGTAGCACCAGGCCAGAGCTGGGTGAGGGCGGAAAAGGTTTCTGAGAGCAGCAGGGGGAGCCCAAGGAGGGATGCGGCTGCTCTCACTGGCATCAGCCCCGGTGAAGACAAAGGGAGGGGTGTGGCATAAGCCACTGGGGTAACCCAGGGACAGAAGCAAAGGTGAGGCACAGTGACGGTGAGGGAGTGCGTGACACATTCTGATGCTCCTCTATATCTAACGTCCCCTAGGGGATCTCAAGGGCATGGCTGTCTGAATTTGCCTCCTGGTGGATGTGGTTCCTGTTCTAGCTGGCTGACTCTGTGAGAGAATGACTTGAAGCCCGTCTGAGAGTTTTCAATCCCTAATCAGACAAGGGGGTGGAGGTAGGGGAAACTCTCACACTCCAGGTCCTAAGACTCGGACCTAGAATGTGCCATTGCAGTCTTCTGTTTTTGTTTTTTGAGACAAGTTCTCACTAGGTAGTCCAGGCTGGCCTTGAACTTGAGATCTTCTGGCCTCAGCCTCCTGATGCCGGGATTACAGATACGCACCACCACATCCTGCTCTGCAGTGTTTTGGAATCTACTGTGTTTGCTGGGGCAAGAAATGTGGGCTCCCTGAGGTGAACAAGTAAGGGTATGAGACCAGGCGAGGGAGAAAGGAACAGGGATGGAAAAAGGGTGCCAGAGCTGGGAACAACGTCAGAGGCAGGCAGGGTCAGTGATGGGTGTCAGGATAGTTACAAGGACTGCAGGGCAGAGGCTGCTCTTCCACCCATACCCAGGGGAGCCTACCTCGGTAGCGGGGGTCTGAGGATTTGAGGACTTGCCGGAGCAGAGCCAGTGTGCGGTTGAAGGCGGGCAGCCTCTTCTGCTCCTCACTGCCCAGTTCCAGGAAGATGCCATCCAGCCTGTATCCAAGGAGGGGCTGGCCAGTCAGCCTCCCCCCCACCCTGCCCCAGAGATGCCCCCAGCATACTGCGAGCCTTCCTGGGCCCAAAGCATGGAGGGACCTTGGGAAGCCCTGGCTATGGGATTGGCCCAGCCACTTCTGCCCCAGCCCTCTGTCTGGATTCCAGGCCCAGCTGCCAGACCACACATCTCCCCCCCACCACCATTCTGCCATTCTGTGCCCCTCTCTCCCCCTCTCCCCCACCTGACCTGATGAAGAGGGTTGCCATGGTGAAGTACCAGCCCCTTTTCTCCTCCATTGGGATCTAGGGAAACAGAAAATGCCATGCTATTATTATTTAGGTGCTCAGGCCGTTGTCCACAGTTCTCGTGCTTTCTCTGGACCCCAAGAGGCAGCAGGTACAGTGGGATGGGGTTTGGCCTTAAACATCCCTGACTCCAGTCCCTGCTCTGCCAGTGTCTGGCTGGGCAACCTTGGGCAAATTGCTTTACTTCTCTGACCCTAGAGGATTTGAGATGCTAAGCCCTGTGAGCCCCCAGTGAGGTGTGAACACTTACCTGTCTTCCCCTCCTATGGACCCACACTCGGCTGGTCACCTTCTCTCCATCACCACAACTGCTCCCCTTTGGTGCCTTCCTCAGTTTCCACCTTCCTGAGAAAGCCTCTCTGTGCAGGTTAATTGAGTCCAGTTCAGCCTAGGCCCAGCCTCCCTGAATTGTTTTCCTATTATTATTCTTACTAGCCTCACTGTGCATTTAGACCAACTTGGGCACCAGATAAAATATTCATGCTGTTATTTATGGGAGTAGCTGCTTCTGCCTTAGGAAGGAATTTTAATGAAAACCAATAAAACCCCCAGTGCATATCGGAGGCTCTGCCTCGGGCTCCAGCCCTTCTCTCTTTATTCATCTTCCCCACCACTGATCTTCTGTACCCCCACCCCCACTGTGGCCTCCTCAGTTCAGGACCCTCCCCCCCAGTACCCTTCCACACCACTGCCACAGCATTCAATTCAGCCAGCATTTCTGAGCCCCTCCAGAACCAGGCCTTGGTTGGGTGCTGTAGGGATATGGCATTGAGCAGGAGCTGCACCCTGTCCTAACCAGGCTCCCAAGCTGGCTGGGGAAACAGAGCAGGCATCAGTAACAGGACTTCAAGGAGTGCCTGCCATGTGCCGGGATCCTCACACCTATCACCTCAATCTCCAACAAACCTAGGAGGAACGCGTTAGCCCCATTTTACAGATGAACACATTGAGACACAGAGGCGTAAAGCAACTTGTCCAGGATCACACAGCTTGAGAGTTTCAGGGCTGGGAATTCAGTGTTGTTTGTTCAACTCCAAAGCCCAGGCTCCCTTTGCCATGTCAGGTTGCTAAAAACTATAGTAGGAGGCAAAGTCTGATCAAGACTATGACAGTGACACAGACCAAGGGGCAGCAGGACAGACATGCCACTCCCAGTCGAAGGATGTGGATTTAAGATGGGTCTTGAGTTGGGGGTGGCACTTTAGCTGAGGACCAGGATATCCCAAAGGGCTTGGCATGAGTGGAAAGTGGGGATGTGAGGGAATAGGCATCCTGGTGGGCACGGAGCAGTGTGTGTGAATGGGGTTGGGGGAGCCACCCCAGCAATGGGCATGTAGGATGAACTTGAACTGGGGGGGGTGGAGGGAAGAGGCCTTATGCATCAGACCCACTGAGTAGTGTAGGTGACCCATGGGGCAGAACACCCAGAGAGGCTCCACTGCGTCTCTCAGCCTATATTTCCCTGGGATCTTCTCTGTGCGGCCCAAGGCGGGTGGGTGAGGACAGGAGAGGAAAGGTGGGTTCCATCTTGAGGTGCCCTTGACTGGCAGGAAAAACAGACATAAGGAGATGGGACATGGAGGCTATGGAGTTCCCTGGCCTTTAGTACACCCTGGAGTAGAGTCCCCAAAAAAGAGAGGGAGTTCCCGGGTGAATAGAGTGGGGGGAGGGGGAGGAGGAGAGAGAGAAGGAGCATTCCAGGAGGGTGGGCTTAGAGATGTGGGAGCATGGCATGTTGAGATCTGTGTGCAGCCTGAAGTCGGAACCCTGGGGGTTTATATTCACTGAGTCATGGCAGGGGAAGGCAGCCCCACCCTCCTGTCTATGCTGCTGACAAGGGGTGAGGACAGAGTCAAGAGCAAGAGGAGTAGACGCAGGCTTGTAATGAGAAGAACGGAGTGTCTCACATGCCTAGCCTGAGGCAGGTGACCCTTGGGGGTGAGTTACCTTGGAGCCCAGCAGGGTTGGGGCTCTTTAGGCAGTTTTGTCCACTGTGACCTGTTTCAGTGCCCTCAGGCCCCAGAGTCTGGAGACTCAGCTATTCCCCATTCCCCACTTCTCCTGGGACTGCAGACCCCATCAGGTCCCAGGCACATTCTTGCCTCTGCAGGTCCCCAGGGTTGGAGTCAATGTGCTCGCCTCAGGCTGAGCTCTCCCTGATACATAGCAACTCTCTCATTTGTCATTCAAGCCAAAAAACATTATGTCCCCAAATCACACAGCTAGTTCATGATGGAGATGTCTCCAACGCCCTAGTTCCCAGCCTTGTCCACAACACTCAGTTATTTTATCAATCTCCTTATGACATATCTGAGGACACTAAGACAAGAGAGGTGAAGTGACTCACCTGAGGTCCCACACTAGTCAGCATCAGGGCTTACAATCCAGTGCTTCCTGCACTACTCTGCTAGCTCACTGTCAATATCCTTGTCAGAGCCTGGCTATGATTTTCACTAAGCACTCAATACCACCACCTGGTGGCAGTATGCTTAAGTAGCAGGGACAACTCCTAGGAATTCAACTTGAAGACTAAAATTGATTTTCAAATAAACAGCTCCACTGGTGGAGTGGCTCAAGTGGTAGAGTGCCTGCCTAGCAAGCGTGAGGCCCTGAGTTCAAACCCCAGTACTGCCAAAAAGACAAAAAAAAGCTACTGAGTGACATTTGTGTGACAAATGCCAAGCATAGCTCCTCAACAGATCCCATCTGAGGGTGACTTTGCAAGAGAGCTCATGGTTGAAGATGGGTTGTTGGATATGTAGTGGACCTCATGCGGTGAGCAAATGAATGGAGGTCTCAGTGTGCTGGGCCTTCCTCCCCAGGCCCAGGCCCAGCTGCTGGAGGGTGCTCACTGTATGGTGTACCTCCAGCCTGAAGGTGGGCTGTCTCTTTAAAAGTCCCTTTGGTTGATAGGAAGCAGCTGAAGCAGTTACCAGGGGCAACCTGGCAAGCCACAGTGCGTTAAATTAAATTAAACAAGCCTCTGGCTGCCAGCCTCTCTGCTCTTCTCCTGAAGAGTAAAGTTGCTGCAGAACCTGTGCGGGCTGCAAGGCATGCAGCTACAGGGCTTCTGGCTCCCAGAGGCCAGGGGTGGGGCAGCCTGGGAGGAGGCACTAGGGGAGGACTGTTTCCTGAGGACCACCTGGTCTGCAGCGAACAACCTGTGCTTTCTCTTTAACTCATACAGCTCTGATCTGGGGTTCTGGGGTCTGAGAGGGTGGGAGTTCAGGCAGGCTTCAAGCTGGCAGGGTCAACAATGAGGTCGCTGTCTGTGGCTCATTGGTGGGAGGGAGGTGAGCAAGCTCACACTGCCCCTGCAGTGAAACCATAATTTTGCTTGGCACGAGCTGCAGGTGAGAGAGATGGACAGGTCCAGTGAGGGCTTAGAGAACATCTCCCAGCTCCCCATTTCAGAGATGGGGAAACTGAAGTGAAAAGAAACAGAGATTTGCCTAGTTGACCTGGGATTTTAGACCAGGTTTCTCTGATTTCAAGTTCATGTTCTTCCCACAACTTCTGGCTGCAAAGAGCTGGTGTACAGTGTTTAGCATTCACTAAGTTCTTTCACACTACTTCATTTGATCCTCAGAACATCCCGTGTGGAATGCAAAGTGTCATTGCCCTCTTAATACAGATGGGAAAACTGAGGCAAGATGGCGTCTTCAAAGACATACAGCCTGTGTGAAAGCCTGGGATGACAACCTGAGGACAGTTCTGTTTTTGCTATGCTGACAATATCAATTTTATTGAGCTCTTATTATGTTCCAGCACTTCATTTATGTGCATTAAACCCATTTGACTCTCTCAAAGGTTGCCTAACAGGTATGGACTGTTATTATCCTAATTTTACAGATGAGGAGCTGTGGCATGGAGTGGTCATGTGATGTGTCCAGAATGACACAACTGGAAGGCAGTAGAACTTGAACCGAGCAGCAGAGCTTCAGAGTTCCTGGATCTAACTGACCCAAACTGGTTCTCAAAGTGTGGTCCCTGGACCAGTGGCTTAAGCATCATCTGGGAGCTGGATAGAAATGCAAAATCTCTACTCCCCACTCTGAAACTCTGGGTGTGGGGACCCAGGATCTGGTGTCACCTGGCCCGCTACTGCACATAAAAGTTTGTGAACCATTGCACTAAACTTGCTATAGAAGGTGGAGTAAAAATGGTCTGATAGATGTGTTGCTTTTTTTGCTGTACTGAGATTTGAACTCAGGGCCACGCAGGCTCTCTAGAGCCACACCCTTACCCCTTTTTGCTTTAGTTATTTTTCAGATAGGATCTTGTGCTTTTGCTTGGGGTCAGACTCAGACCAAGATCTTCCTACCTATACCTCCGTTGGAGCTGGGATTACAGGCATGAGCCACTGTGCTCAGCTCAGAATTGATTTTAAATGAATCAAATGATTAGAAATTGAGCTTCTCAGGGAAGTCTGAAGATCCATGCTCTTACAGCTGGATGGGTAAGTGGCAAAGGTTGATGACCTGGCAGAAAAAGTGGGATTAGGATAAGCCATTACAGGAGTAGGTGTGTGTCAACTCAGGCAGGTGCAGAGAAGGGGATGTTGGGGGCTTGACTATCTTAAGGGATTTCAATAAAAGCTCTTTTACCAAGCCAATAGCTTACAAATCTATATGCATCCGAACCGGCTATACAGACACCTTGTTTGTTCTTAGGGAAAATGTTTGCCTTGCCTTTGAACTTTGCCCTTAATGGCTATGCTCTGCATTCCAGGGTGGGTTCCTGAGAGCTGACTAACTCTCGCTGGGGAGGAGATGAGAAAGAGGAGAGGAAGGTCACGCCTCCAGTGTCACTGGACACTTAGTGCATGTGGCACTGGATTCTCACGGTAGCCTTAGAAGGTAAAACACATCTTCCTCCTTGTACAAATGAGGAAACAGACTAAGAAAAATGGCCCAGCTCAACCCCACAGCCCAGGGCAGAGAGGTCAAGATTCAAGTTCAGATCTGCCTCCCTCCAATGCTGTGTCTTTGCTGACA